GAATAATAGAAGGGAGGATTCCAAATTGGTATCTGCTGGGCCATTAAAAAAAAAAAGTTGATGTTGCTGTTTTCTTTGACAGAGGAAGAAATAGGTAGTCCCTATATTTCACCAAGTTACATGATATGAAAATATTGCAAATAAAACAACCTACTGATGCATTTAGGATTAAAATACTAAAATTTCAATATTATATGATCAAATTAGGTGACCCTCAGTTATATGGGCATGTCCAAATACATAAATGGTTGATTATTTATAGACCAAAATATAAATTCTATACACTTAGATTCGTATACTTTAGTTGGTGCTCTGTAGAAAATAGAAGATAATGAATAACTTAAGACCATAATTGAAAATAACAATATCATTAAGAAAAACTTGGCTTCATTGTATTAAAGATTTTCCAAAGTTACAAAACCAACATTTAAGAAACATAAAATTTAATTTAAAAATGTTAATTATATATATATGTATATATACATATATGTGTGTGTGTGTGTGTATTCTGTAAATAATACTAGTTCTTTCCAACATATCGAATCTAGACAAAAACAGCAAAAGCAGCATCTCTTTGTCAACTAAGAAACACCTGAACTTTAGCCTTTAAAATGACTGTAAGAACAGGCCATCCCTGGAGGTGCAGCGGGTTAAAGTGAGGCACTGTGCAAATGGAAAGCCACTTCCATATGAGTTCTATCCATGCCTGCCCCTGAGGTGATCCACATGGCAGGGCAGACCTCTCCTGACCCACCCGCTGCTCCCCTAAGCAGTGTACTTTGACGATCTGCTCCCCACTCTGTCTCTGGTGAATCCTCTCACCGCCCTTGCACCTCTGGCCTGTACCCCAGTTCTGTATGCACAAATAAATAAATAATTCTTTAAAAAAAATTAAAAAAATGACTAAGTGACTTTATAACTTTTTATCACTACCTATGCAAATGAACTGTTTTTCAAAGTAGATAGATATTGTTGATGAAACTGATAAATTCAACCTTTGCATCCAGTACAATTGACTTGATAAAAAAAAGTCTCACAGTCATTTGGTCAACTGCAACATGAAATATGAACTGGCTCCTACAAGTTGTATTGTTTAATTCATTCATTAATTCATTATACCATTCAATTAAGTATCACCTGTGTGTTTTCTTTAACCTAGAGGAGTTATAGATGCTTCTGATTTCAAATGGCTCTGACTCATCAAATTCAACTGAAAATGAAAATGAAGGTATATTATATACATAATTAGAAATACATATATCTTGTTCATTTGGTGTTGAGAGAGGGACTCCTGAGAGTAAATAAGAATATTTTCAGTGTCAACATTTTCGGTTGACTTTGTTATCATAGACTCTGGCACAGGAAATATTATCTAGAAATTAGATAATATTTTCTAAGGTAACTTTAAATGTAAAAGTATAAACTTCAAATTTAAAAAGGACTGGGACTCTTAAAATAATTGCTATATATTTTTCCTGGATGGTTTTTATTATTTAAGTTTCTTTTCTTTCCAACACCTAAGAGAAAATGGTTTATGAGCAGTGTTAACCTTTTGTGATAGCTTGGTCTCCCCCTATTGTCCAAGCTGATAAAAATCTAGCACTCTGGAAACACAAGACGCTACCTCCCTCCCTTATTTGTAAGTTGACATGAAGTAGAGACACCTTCTGTAGTTTCATGCATGCTGTGTTTTCTCTCCTTTCTGCAAAAAAAAAAAAGAAAAGAAAAAAGAAAAGGCTTTTCTTTTAACCTGGCTGCCTTTGAAGAAGCAACTCAGACATCTTCATGGCCTCTAAAGGTAAGAGAAAATATAACCAACTTCTAATATTTTCCTTATAATATGATTAGAAATAGAACTGTAGGGGTTCAGTGAGGTTTATATTTAAATGAAGTTATTTATCACTTTTGAAAACTGGAATTTTTAAATTTTAATACCAAGGCATGTATAATATTTTATGTCAAATATGAGGACAAATTGCTATTCCAAATTTAAAGGAAATCATTTCGCACATGTTAAGTATTAAAGTGAAGTCTAAGAATTTTTGATTTCCAGTTTGTTTTCTGAAATATTTGATATATATAAAAATTCAATTTTTGTTATTGATAAGTCCAGTAAATCTTTATAATTTTAGTAGACTAGAAGTACCATATTTCTAACTATGAAGAAAAAAAACTCATATTTCCATTAAGACTAAGTTAAATATTAAAAGCAAACAAAACATATTTAATTTTATATAAACAGATTATTTGTAGATGTTGGGGAGGCAACTGGTAAGTTTTCCTCAAATCCCTCAAGTTTTATAACTATCATTGGTATTATTTCACTTTTAAAGATCTCATAAGACAAAAGAAGTAGTTTTTTTTTTCTTTTTGAGATAATGAATGGCAATCTCACTAAAAACATTTGTGAAATTATGTAAAAATGAAATTATAATGTGTTTTCATTCCATTATTAGAACAAATCATTAAATGCTAGTCTATAATGAAAAGTTTTAGTATGAAGAAAAATGATTAGTATAATTGGTGGAAACCTTTTAACCTAATTATAACTGAGATAATTGGGTCCACCAATTTTAATATCCTAAATTAATGATCCATTCAAAGAAGTGAAAATACACTTTTGGGCACTACTTTCTATAGAACAAATGAGGTAACATTTTCAATATTCATCAACAATTAACTCACACCAATCCCTGAATATCATTGGAAAAACACACATTGTAAAATATAGACATGAAATAACAAATTGAATTTTAATGTGTTGTTTCATTTATATAATGGAACACAAAAACATCTTGACAAGTATTTTCATTTAAGACTGACACTTTGTCCAAAACACTTCATCACTTTATAAAGTAAGAACTACAGCAGCAACTGCAGCCTGTAAGGGAAAGAGTTGCAGAAGATGTGAAATATTTATTAGCAAGTAATACATTTTTAAAGGAGTAGATAGAAATTCAAAGCCAGATAGAAACTCAAAGGAGTTCCTTCTTCATCTTGTGGTCTGAGTCTTTGAAGAAACTTGTGACTAGAAAACGCTATTACAAAATATGATTAATCTACCAAAAAAAAAATTGTGTTCGGTAAAGATAAGGACTCAGCACTAAACTTGGAGGTAAAAATTCATGTGGAAGACTAATAGTCCTTCTGCAACTGACTCAAATATTTGACATATATCTGTTAGAGACGTTAAATATAACAATTAAAATAAAGTTTACTTTTGAAAATAAATACCTGATTTGATGGAGCAAGTCAGGTTATATCATATTTTATCTAATGTATATTTGTGGATAAAATTTATTTTTTTAAAGATTTATTTATTTGTGCATAGAGAACTGGGGTACAGGCCAGAGGCTCAGGGGCGGTGAGAGGCTTCACCAGTGACAAGAGTAGGAAACAGAACAGGCAGATCGACGAAGCACACTGCTTAGGGGAGCAGCGGGTGGGTCAGGAGAGGTCTGCCACGCCATGTGGTCAACTCCGGGGCAGGCAGGAATCGAACTCATGCGGAAGCAGCTTTTAGATTCTCAGTGCTGTGCTTTAACCCACTGCAGCACCAGAGAGGGCCTGTGGATAAAACTTAAAAAATATATTTAAAAACATCATGTACAATCTTTTAATGCTCTTCATTCCATGAAACTGTGTTGGCAATTAGCACTTTTTCAGGGAAGACAGGCAATGAAGTTTTCACATTTCATAGGCATCACTAAGCCCAAGGACAGCAAGCATACTGGATGCCATCAAGAGTTGAATTAATACTTGTGTTATCTGGAGCTCTCCCTGGTGGCAAATCGGGTTAGAGCACAGCACTGTGGAGCTCTCCACAGCCACTTCAGTGCCAGTTCTATCCTCTATCCCCCACAATGGCGCAGCAGACCTCTCCTGACCAACTGCTACGCCCCTCTTCACAGCTCTTTGAAAGTCAAGGAAAATAGTGCTTTGGGGCTAATGCTGGAGAAGTTGTTTTCTTTTATTATTTTTTAGTTGTTATTGTGATATTGGCCATCAGCTCCTCTCCAAATTCTCACCTGGTTGAGGACTCAGGAACCCACTCAAACCCTTTTCTTGAAAGCAAAAGATATTTGAGATCCTGTACTGTCCAGATTTAAGAAAAGTTCCAGATGAAGTCTTTGTGGGAGTGGAGTGTAAAATTAGTGGAGTTTTTTTTTTTTTTTGGGGGGGGGGATATCAAGTGACAAATTTATTTCCATGTAGTCCTCATCTGATTGCCTATCCAGATTCTAAATGTCACAAACCAGTCATATTTAGAGATTCGTGTGTTTAAATATAAATAAGCGAATCATTGTTCAATTGTCACTTCTTCATACAACATGTACACAGAACTATAATGAGCTTATTAGAACCAGAAATAGTTTATGCCATTGTCCAGAGGATTTTGGATGCTTATGCTTCTTCACCAATTTATTATTTTTTCTGTAGTTGTTTTTGTAGTTCTCATCAAGGATAAAATTGTTTTATTTTAATAATGACAGACTTACTATCTCCAACAGTAATTAAATTCATTTTTCAAGTTAATCTTCAGAGATTTAAAAAATCTGGTAACCTCTCTCACACACAGCACCATTACGTGGATTTTAGAGTCAGTCCTCAGGATTACCAGTCTATTGTATTGTGAATTTTATAGATGTTACTCCCGTTTTAGTATGTGTTCAATAAGGATGTTTGTTCAAGTATTTGTGGAGCTGACATAAATTTCTTTCTTCAGTTAATCTAGAAGCAGTTACCTGTCTTTCCCATTCATATATCTTCAGTCTGAATTGATTGTTTAATATCATACCTTTTATATGACAAAATACGTCCTGTAAGCTTGCTCCCTGACCTCAATCTGAACAGCATATTATTGACATATTCCGTGAATACATGTGAGAATGTTTATATTTATGGACTAATAAAGATTAGAAGTAAAAACTGATAATCTTCCTTTAAAAAAACTGGTAGTTAATAGGGAAAGATAGCTTGTTATTTTTATTGTATTACAGATGGACAGAAGCAAGGAAGTAGAGTTCTGCCTAGATTGCTTCCTGGGGCACCAGACCTGGAGCACTGTCTGCAGGTCTCCCCTTCTGGTCCAGGGAACCAAGTATGGCAGCCGGACCTGCCTCTGCCTAGCCATCCCCCACCTGGTCTTGAATATTTAAGTCAGGTATTTTTGTTTGTTTTATTTTGTTTTTTTACTCTCTATTTCTACAAATGTCTATCCTTTAAATGAATATAGACAGTTTCTTGCTTGTCAACCAAGTTTGAAGTACTCCAACAAAAAATGTATTGAAGTTCAGAAAAACATTTTAAGTCATGAAATTTATTTTTTCTCTGTTTCTATGATTTGGGGATAAAACTTGTTTTATTTTTATTAGCACTTCTATTTGTCTAATTTATTTGACAGAGAGGCAAGTCTAAACATTTTTGATTGAGCAGTTTAGCACATTTATCTTCCTTCTGCTCATTGCTCAAGGTGTCAGTGAATCTATGCTCCAGGAATTTTCTAATATGTCTAGTCACCTAGAATTGTTAAATATTTGCATACTTGCTATAATCAAGGTATATAAAAAGCAGAAAACATAGTCCCTCTCACCCAAACACATTCTGCAAGGTCATGGGCAAGGCAAAAAAAAAAAAAATGTTGACAAAAATGTGAAAGTCTGTGTACAAAAGTAAAGGTGATCTCTAAGGAAAAATTAAGGGTCAAAGTATTCAAGAGAGATTTCCACAAAGAGCTGAACAATTGTCTTCCAGTGATTCCCAAAATGTGTATGAAAATTCAACTGGAAGTTATCAAGTTAACAGTATTTATTGTTTGATACTTTCACCAAGCCAATTTCTTGAAAGATGGAATTGTTATTATATATAGTCACTGTTCCAGTCATTAGAGGGAAGGAAATGAATCAAACTTTGTAATAAGACAATCAAGAAATGACATCTGAAGTATATGGCACATAAATAGCAGTTGAAATTTATGTATGATTGTTGTTTTTTTTATTTCATACTAAAAAGATTAGACATACACTAATATTGAGATGTCAGCACATCTGCTGCAATTTTCAGCTTGTTTGGCATTCTTTCAAACTATAAAGTCTATCTCCTTTATCAAAATCAAATCTCTGTGTTAATTCCCTTAAGGTACGAGAAATTTCTGTTATGCCTGATAGGGTTTAAGCTGCATGCAGCATATGTTCCTGAGAAAATGTTTATAATTGCAGATGCCTTCTCCAGAAACCCACTGGCAGACAAATGTACTTTAGAGACTGGAGAGCTCAGGGAGATATGTAAAAGAGCTGGAAAAGCTAGCCCACTATCTTCCATCTGCAGAAAGGATCAGCTGTAATAGCTGACTAGAGTTGATTAACTGCTGCAAGCTGTTTGGGAATGTTGTCAGACAAGGTTTTGCCAAGTATAAAAGTGATATACCAGTGCCAGAGGGCTGGGGTTTGATGATCACATATGGTCATCACATATCCTTCTTCCACCCATGAATGATGACACACCCAGAGCCAGATGCTTGACATGAGTACATTTTCTTTGAGTTCAGTAAATAGAGATTTGAACCCATTGGCTTCATTTGAAATTGAAGTGAATTTCCAAAAAGATATACCTTTGGTAAACTTTTCCAGAAAACAAAAATATGCCACAAACTGGTGATTATTTTACTTAAAAGGAAAAAATAATTTACTCATTTTATACTAAAGGAACACTGATTTGCTTTAAGAGAGTGTACATCTAGCAAAATAATGAGCACATTTAGAGTTTTATAATAAGGGATTTAAAAGACATACAGAATGAATTTTATGTGCTATTTTTTGTATAAAAATCATAAAAAATCAAATAAAATAGCTAACATTTAGCAATAACAGTCTTACAAAAATAAACAGGAATTTATAAAAATTCATCTAAATTAAAATACAGAGTGAAAATTCTAAAATCATCTAGTCTTTCTTAATAAAGGCCATCTGATGACTACTGAAATTTTCATTTCCATAACCAACTTGAAAGTAAATTAATGTATACATATGTGTATTTTATATATGTGTGCATGCATGCAATGTTGGTTTCATGTAGATTAAATCTAATACTAATACATTTAGATTGAATTAGCATTTTAACTATAGTCAACAACATTTTAAATGTCAAAGGATAATAATTGTAATTTGTTTATCTACAGGTAAAAGTAGTGAATTAATCTGCAAAGATACATGAAATGATCCAGTTTTCTTCATTGCACATGTTAAGCAGAATCACTGATATTTGAAAACCTGAGAAGTTATACATTAAATAAATCCTTGTGCTACATATACAACACTATTATTGAATTTCATACTGTAGCCTTCATACTTAAGGAGAACTTTATTTGCTCTGACACCTATAATTCAATCTATTAAAGATTTCCAACAATTCCTAGTCCACCCACTAATTTTTAAAGCTACTTAAAGAAAATTAGAAAGACAATCAAACACAAGACTCTCAAATCCAGAACGTTGCCCACCCTCAGAGACAAATTAAATGTTATTATAGGGGGTTGGTAAATAGAAGAGAAAATAAAGTAGGGGGAAAAGATTCTCAGAATTTCCATAGTATCACTTAAAAGTTTTTTTTGTTGCAGCTCCTAAGATTAGTTTAATGATGCTAGTGTGTTAGATAGAAAACACGTTGAAATTGGCATCGGTATGACCTGAGTTCAAATCTCAGCCTATCTATTTGTAAAGACTGTGATCTGGGCAATTTACTTAATCTTTCTGGGATTGGTCCCTCATGTGTAATATGCAATGACATACTCTGTCAGAATTTCTCTCTGAAATTCTGTAAGGATTGGACAGTCTGCCAAAATAACTCTCACAAACTGTCTAGCACCTTAAGGTAGTCATTAAGTAAACAGCTGCTATTTTTAGATATTAGAAAAATACAGCTTCCCTTTTTATTGTGAAGTAGATCTAAACTGATAGTCTCTGTATATCTAGACTAACATTTGACCCATAGCAATAATATTCAGTGTCCTTACACTCAAGCATTTGTCTTGTCCCCATAGTTACCCAGCCTAAATTAAATTTACATTAGTCCACTGCTAGAAAACTACAGATCTCTTCTTAAAGGTTTACCTCTTTCTTTTCACCACCCCAACAGAACTAAAAACAGTACACTATAAAATAATTAGCCTAATTAAATTTAAAAAAAAA